GTCTACCAGACCAAAGTGCCGCTTCGCGGCACTTTGGTCTGGCCGTGTGTGAAGTGGGATGAGTGTAAAAGTTTTGTGGTGTGTCTTTTGACCCGAAAATACCTGGTCTTCATCGCGAACATTTTCTAAAGTTCTTCTCAAACAGAAGTTGTGGAATAAGTACGGAGTTCCATGTAAGCGAGTTTGAATCTGTGCAGCCTCTGGTGTTTGCGATGATGATACGTATGTAAAAATCTTCATAGGCAAAACAACCATTAAACTGAGATCTCAAAATAGTTAATATCAAATAAATAAGCACACGGATAATGAGACGCCATGTATCGCTTCACGACAACATGTAGTCACAAAAAAGTAGACAAAAGACGAAAAAGTAAAGACTGTGTCGGAAAAATGACTAAATCGATTACGCTTGATAGTTTTGCTTTATTCCTCAGATCTCGTTCGGTTTAGAAGCAACTGAGAGAATATTGAAAAAAATAGAGCAGAAAGGTAAGCAAGACTCTGAGTGTTGCTAATTAGGTTACAGCACAGATTTCACAACAACGTTTCTGACTCTGGCACCGCTTTTGAGCACTTTTACACCTTCCTTCGTTTGCGCGCGTGATAAAGCAACGTAGAGCTGTCCATGGGAAAACACATCAGTCTCAAGATGAATGCCCACTTTTGCAAGACTTTGCCCTTGAGCTTTGTTGATGGTCATGGCGAAAGCCAACCGTATGGGAAATTGGCGGCGTCGCACTTGTGAGGGAACACCTTTGTCGGTAAGGTTGTCTATTCGAGGGATAAGGACGAATTGACCTTTCCGTTCTCCAGTAGCTATAAAACATCCAAGGACGTAACGTTCAAAATGGGTAACTATCAGGCGCGTTCCATTGCATAAACCTTTTTTAGCGTCCAAATTCCTAAGCAATATCACAATCGCACCTTTTTTCAATCGTAGGATGTGGGGAGGAAGACCTGCAGGCGTCAAACTGTTCAAAAATTCCGTGCTATATTCACTATACTCGTCGCTCGTAAATTCGTCCACACTCTTATACTCTTTCACTTCACCTGCGAGGCGATTGAGTGCCTCTTCATTGATGCGATTAACATCAATGTTCCGCGGTGCTAGTATGGCAAGGGTTTCGACGTTGGAAATTTGATCTCCGAACACTTCTTCGATAAGGTCCCCGTTGGAAATTATAGCTTCTGGGAGTTCTATACAGTTTTGCTCATCTTCTTCTGCCTTTCCGTCTCCCACGCTGATGAGGAAATCACACCACGACGTGTCATGGTCTCCCACTCTCATGTTAACCAATAAACTATGCTTGCCAAATGTTCTCCAGAGATGGCTGTTTTTTACACAAATGTCAATCATGTCCGAATCACTTCCACGCTCCACAATGGGCAACACTTGTCGGAAATCGCCCCCGAGCACAATAGTCTTTCCTCCAAAAGGCTCAGAATTGCACACTAAATCCTTGAATAAGAGGTCTACTGCTTCTAAGGAATGCTTTGAAACCATACTTATTTCATCCCAAATAATGGCATCAGCTTTTTTCAAAGGTATCGCATCTTTGCTCTCGCGACGAATCATGCATTCGCGATTTCCAGACTGCATGTTGAACTTGAAGGTTGAGCTGGCGGTTCTCCCTTCTGGAAGCAAACTCGCAGCAATCCCCGTCCATGCCACACAAATTACTGACTTGCGCTGCCCTTTCAAGATGTGATATATGGTATTATAAAGAAAAGTCTTCCCGCTGCCACCTGGCCCGTCAACAAAATGTAGTTTACAATGACCATCATCAAACGATGCAAGAAGTGGCTGCAAGACGTGCTGTTGGCTGCAAGACGCTGATGGTGATTGAGACTTTCAAACATTTCTGACCCCTTTCGACAGTGATAGCCGTAATCGGTTTCATCAACGCGCACTGGGCGGGGTTGCGACGGAGGTTCAATTTTCTGTGAAAGATCATATTGCAGAGTTTCCAACTTGTCGAGCATTTCATAATATGCCAGCGCCACCGCTTCATCTACTGTGAAGCCTCTGTGAACAAAATCTTCGGATAGCTCCGTTTTGAAGCGCTCAAAGAGAACAGAAGGGTCGTTGATGTTACAGAACGCCAACATATAGCAAAACAACGCACGCAGCTCAGCCGGCATCTGGAAGGCCGCTGCTTCTTCCAGGCAATGCCCATAATGAGCATCGTCATGAAGAAGGCCAAGGGCACGTGCAGCTGCTGCAAAGTTGGGATACAGCTGATTATCTACAGTCCGCAAATCTTCAAAAGATCGCATGTTCTTGCGATGTAAAAGGAGGACGCGTAGGCTAAATCGCTCTATTTCTTTAGGGGGTGGCCATATATATACGTCCGATTTGGCGGGTCCCTCTTCCACGTATTTTCCACTTTCCGCTTTGCTTCACAAAAGTGAAGTGTTCCGGAAGCTGGTAGTAGTACAGGGAGCGTGGATCGATTCCTACCGAAACAGAATTTTCTCGTTCTAGCTGTTCATATTCGGCATTTATTTTGAACCACGCAGTAAGCGTAGTTTCCTTCATTGCCGCTCTTTGTATGGCTTCCCTTTCTCCCCCCGACGGAAAGGTGATGTTCTGGAAGTTAGGGAGGTGGACCTGAAGCCTGTATACTGTGTCGGATTTAAATTGACACTCGTACATAAATATGTGATGTAACGCTTCTGGAGAGCACACATAACGAGCGTCAAGGTGTGCCTTGATTTCATCAGTGTGGTCAGTGCCACTCTGCAGAAGTCTTAAGGAAGCCCGATCCGGTCCTTTATATACATATTTGTACAGGTATTTTACTGCCTGAACATACCCGCATATCTCGACATTAATGTGCGCATTCAAATAATAGCAGGAGATAGCGATTGTACGGAACGATATGCCTGTTATCGAAACTTTCGCCTCGAAGGTGCACGGAATTTCCATTGTTTGGTCTCTTATACTTTGGATAACCTTCCGCATTTATAACAGTCTCTTCCCTGAACTCTTTGGGAAAATTTTTGGAGCACACTCCATTTACCATGCATGGGGCATCTGGGCTTGTGGCTCCGCAGCGTCTATGCACCATGTTGCTGACAACTATGTCAAACAAACGTGGTTCTGTAGCCGCGTCGGGCAAATGGTCCTGCACTACTGCATCGATTTCGGAAGGAGACCTGGGTTTTGCAGAGGTAGCCATGATCAAAAGCATATGACAGTGGGGGAGACCTCTTTTCTGCCATTCCACCACCCCAACATACGCGGCGACTCGACCAAAAATATTGCGTTCAAAAAGATATTCTTGTAAAACCTTCAGTTTCCTTTGAAAAACTCTTGCAACTATGTCCGGCCGGTCTGAAGATGTTTGCCCAGCATAGAGATTTTCTGTGATTTCTCTCCAACGCGGATTACACGTGAATGTCAAGAAATAATCAGGCTTCCCGTACTTGGCGACGATGGACATTGCATCCTGGTATGACTGGTGCATGGCACGTGGTCCACCTTGAAATGTGGCTGGCAAGATAATACGTTGTCCTGCAGGCTCATGTGCGTCGTCACTTGCGAGATGGTCCATCAAGCCCTGGTAACTGTCTACGCGGAGGTCTTTCTGATGTGTTCTCGTGTAGTTGAGCCGATTTTGTTCAATTTTTACATACGCGTCCACCACAAACTGCTGTAGGAGTTTACTAGCATGGTGTAGCGGATTGAAAATTGTGCGTATGGATAGCAGGTATGAGTAGAACTCTCTCTGGGTGATCCTCGTTCGAGTTCTTCTACTTTCATTTTTCCTGAGGTCTACGTGCCACCCAAGGCCCCCTCTCGGAAATAAAAGTGGGTACGTAAGTGGATCACAGCGGCCGTCTATATCCTGAATTGGATATAATCCTGCTCCTCTATGATGGATTGCCAAGGATCGGGTTGCTGGCACGTCATTATCCTCTCCCACAAACACAACAGCCACTTCGTTTGTAACAGGAGTATTATAACGTCGAAGGTCCAGATTGCGTCAGCTATCGAAAATCATTCTGATTTTTGGTGCCGCTCTACCCTCCAGGAATGCTGTTCTCTCTTCTGCTGCAGCAATGTCACCCATCATCTTGAAGGATACTGCATATTCATTGTAAGCGTGAAACCAAGTAGAAAGTTCGCGCATGATCGAGGGGTCACAATCTTCATTGGCAGGGTTCCCAAGACGTTCCGCAGTTGCATCGTCTGAGTCTAGTATGTACAATTGCCCGTACTGCCGTCGCGTACCATTTTCAGGTTGTGTAGGTCCGACAAAATGATACACTTGTCCGTGAATTCGATAGCAGTAAGGCCCAGTACCGCGAGTTGTGTCTACCTGTGCTCCCATTGATGCCATTGCCAGAGCGTTGTTAAATGAACGTATGTGCTGACGAAATCTTTTACTTTCGCTGCTGTTACTTGTTAGCAAACGTCGAACCAAGTCGGGGAAATTGGCAAAAACGTCCAAACTCACATTACCAAAATTACAGCATAAGTTGAAGCCACCATTAGTTGGCTTGGCTTCGTTTTGGAAAAACAGAGCACCGCAATGACTACATGCAACAGAAAGAGGACCCAAGTAATTCTCAGCTGGTTCGGCAGTAGTCGCAGCAATGTTATCGTAAGGTACCCTTGAGATGAGCGCCACTGATTGGTTCTAAGGATGTGCTTCTTGTAATGTACTTGAAGTTTAAGTAAAACAAAATACCTGAGCATTATTAGTGTGAAGAGAGCGTATCTGATTTGCGCGCCAGGCTCTAGAATTAGCAGCACTATGCTGAAGTCGAGACATTCTTTCTTCTTCCGCCTCGTTTGCTCTTCTCCGCCTTTCTCTTATGCCTCTCGCTCGCAGACGATCTATTCTTTGTACCTCGTTCTTCGATGAGTTCGCACGCCACAATCTCGAATTAGCAGCAGCGGTTTGAAGTCTTGACAGTCTCTCTGGCTCCGTTTCAATAGCCCTTCTTTGCCTCTTTCGTTCAGCTGCTAGACCAAGACGTGTCTGTTTCTGTTCTTCTGTCTCATTTTGTCTTCGCGCAGCTTTCAGTATTGCCGCTCTAGTCTGAACTGGAGCTCTTCTAGAATCGTTCGTTATCTGCAATGTAAGCACGGGCTTTCCCAAACAGGAAGAATAGCAGGAAAGGTATGCAATGAGTTACAAAACTAACATTTTCGCTTGCTTGAGTCTCTTGAAAGTCTCTCTCTCCCGCGTTTGATACATTAGCTTTCTCAGAAGATGAGTCCACCGGCGATGATGAATGTGATTCCCAGGGCTGCGAAAACGTGTGCAGCACAGTAGTGGACGAACTTGTTGTTCAGTATATGAGTCCAGCGGCAACACTAGAGTTGCCTCCACAGCTTGTGACTAAACGCATAACCGAGATGAGTGTGTGAGCAAGCGATCGAATCGTATTCAAACACTGGTTGAAAATATCACCTGAACAACTCCACTTTGACTGGGAGTTTGTTCCAGGCTGTTGCTAGTCTTAGCCTTCTTGAGTGTATTTGTAGGTGAAAGGTCCTCATTTGCAGGTAGTGACTGCTGGACAGAGTAGAACTGTGAGTTACAACAAAGAATCGGAGAAAAAATGAAAAACGTTCCGAGAACTTTTTTTATCGTTAGTTTTGATTTTTACCGTTAGTTTTGACAGCATCAAATGCTGATTTATGACAGAAGATGCACAGGAAAATGAATAGAGTTTTGAGACAGAAAAATGTTGTCGAAGAGTGAAGTTTCTGATAAAGCTGGTAGATACGCTAAGAAATCAGTGATTGAAAGAATTTGGTGGCATATAGCAAGGCTTTGAAAATAAGAGAGAGGCTCATGAAAGGCATTTAGTCCTAGTGTTGTCGTAGGATTAGCTGCGACACAAATGAGCGACGAATAAATTAATTGCTCTTGCAAAATAAACGTGCTGTAGTTAAAATTCCTTCGGAGACACGTATAATGCGTAGTTGTCAGGTGTGGGCAGATCGGTTCAGTTACATAGTTAGTCCCTTCCCCCCAAGGCTTCGAAGTAAAAGTTACAATTAAAAAGAAGCATTGTCTGACTTTCTCGTTCATCCTTGTTAACCTGGAGGCAACAGCGACATTTGTAAGAACGGCCTCTGTTCATGAAGTGATAGTGACACTGATGTGATACTTGGTTTACGTGGAAAAAATGAGCATGCTAGCGCAGACTTTGAAGAAAGATTGTAGAACTGATATGATAGTTTCCATGCAAAAATTTTTGTCCTATGTGGTACGTATGTGGTACGTACCGTACGCATCCCCACTCAGCAATACCACGTTGGTGGATTAAAATGAAGAACCTTTAGAGACAACAAAATTGACAGACAGGAAACATTTCGTATGGACCGCTTCTTGCCAACTTGCAATTTATAGAAAGAGTGAGTAAGATTAGCAAAATCTGTAGAAACTAAACGTGTTTGTAAAAAGGCTTTTGTACTGGCGGACTTGTATATTGTGGCGGAAATCTAGTTGAGAAAAAAAATTGGAGGTGATAAGACTGATGAAGACTGATAAAGAAGAGAGTAAGGCAGAAAACCTTCAAAATTAGCAAAATCGGCAGAAACTGAACGTGTTTGTAGAGAGGCTATTGTAGTAAATGCGAACTTGCATATTTTGGCGGAAAACGCGAACAGCTTTATGGCTCGGCAGAGAGGTTTGGGGAAGGAAACGTTCGTATTATAAAAGGTATTCAGATTAGAATTTCATAAATATGTTCAAGAAAGAAAAATTATCAGAATGATACAACGCTATAGACAATGACAACTTTAGATTGAAAATCAGATGCGACTAACCTTAGAGCTTTGCTGACTTCTTTTCACCATGATGAGGGATGAGACTGGGTTATCAACTTGGCACAATGAATGAGTTAGTCGCAATGGTCTGGTATGCAAAACAAAACATCTCGAACATGGATGGAATCAAAAACCTCATCCTTAAATTAAAAGGGCAACTTTCCAGACTGTTGACCTGGCAAGACTCTCTCGGCGGCGGCAGCGGCGGGGGGGGGGGGGAGATGGAGAGGGGGGGGGGGGAGGGTCAGACTGTTTACCTTTAACCTGGCAAATGGCGGCGGCGGAGGGGGGGGGGGGTATAGTGGCCGGACATACGCCGTATACGCATGAGTCATCCTGCGCTTTATTATATAGAGATCGTTTGTGCAGCTGGGACCAGCGAAAACTGTAACATGATAATCGTCCGTTCCTACCTGATTTGCGATATCAAATTACCAAAATGATTTTTTTACTGAATATCCTTTTAGAAGTTATCAAATTTAATATTGATCATGACGAGTAGATCTAGAAGGTTTCAAAAGTACTGGGCAACGTTCCCCCGCCCCCTCCCCCGAAGAGATTAGAATTTATCAGCTGCTCGAGAAGTATCATTTGTGTGGTCTGAAGGGGGGGGGAAGCCCTTCAAAAAATTAGTTTGAGATGCTTTTCAACTTTTTAGCGGATGCCTATAACTCTAGGAAATAGTTAATACATACAAAAATTTATTTGCAAAGCTAATTTGAATTTTGAGGATTTTCTAAAATTTTATTTCAATCACTCACAGGCGAAAAAGAGATCAAAGAGACCACAATTTTATGGTCATCCCTGCTCCTCTCCCTTCCTCCCCCGCTCCCCCCCCCCTTCCTCCTCTCAAGGTACCTAGGCCTCGGTCCTCCATGTATGCGTCTACAAAAGCTCTTTTTTAAATCTCATATAAATACGCAGGAAATAAGCGAACAAAAAATGAAAATGAATAAAAATTCAAGAAAAATACTTGGAAAATTTTTGCCGCCCTCTATTAAGCAGAGAAATCGGTTTTTGCAATCCTTTTTACAAAGATTGGAGGTAACGCAACGTCACATTTATCAACATCAGACAATTTTTACATTTTTTACAATAACAATTTCACAAAAACAATTCACAATTCTTTTGTCTCTTACAACGGCGCGGAAAAAATTAAATGAGAGGAAGTCGTTCTTAACTTTGTACCTTTTCAGAAGTCAGCTGCACCCATTTTTTGATTTATTTACGTAAATTCTAGAAACTTTGTTAGAGGATCTCAATTACTGCTCTCCTGTAACTCTTCTTTCTTATTTCCTTTACACTTTGTGCGGAATAACTTGAGATCTTGCTTGTCTCACATGCCCTTGACTACTTCTTCAGGCAACACATGTCTCAAGCTATTATGTCAAAGCCATTTCCGACTCTTTCATGTGCGAGCAAGAAGTCTTGTAGAAATCGCAGTAATGGGAAAACATGTTCATCGCTTTTCCAATCGTTCTTGCTATTTTGCTTCAGGATTCATGATGATCTCACCCATTTGCAAAAATTACCTCTAACCCTTTAAATTCTGCAGTTTGTCGTAGTTTAATACTTCTAAGAACTTATACCGTATTGCTTTACAAAATATGGAGATCAGTATAAGGGAAGCCAAATTTCTTAACTCATGCAAATGCTACTGAATGCTACAAAAAATGCAAGAGATATGGGAATTCTTGCTAAGCTATTATCCACATGATTCTTCAGAAGATCCTTCCAATTTCGAATCACCCCTCCCCCTCCGTAAGCTAGCATTTTTTTGAGAACGATTCACGTGACAGAAAAAAGCACTGCACTGACTAGCTTATTTTTGGGACTGATGTGAGATGCCAAAGTCTGGAAGCTTCACAAATTCTTTTTGAAATATTATTTTGTCAAAACTTTTTGATCAAGAAGGATTCTGTCACGTTCCCCCCCCCCCCCCCTCCCCTCTCTCCAGTTTATTAAAAACCAGTGCGTCACCTCTGCTTCGCAGAGGCTCGCACTGGCCCTACTTTCTGTATGCATTACCCATTCCCGCACACTAATGACATTGAAACTCACGCGCTGTGCGGACTATCACGAATGAATTGTAAACAGCTAATCATTCCAAAAGCTTTTCCACATGAGATCGGTAATTTCGCGTGAATCAAACTCTCCCCAAAAGAACAAATGCAAATTTCAATTGGTTTTTGGATTTTTCATGGCTTTGTATTTATCATAAGATACAATAATCATCGTGGGCTACATCTCTGTGCAAAAATCTTCTCAAATGATCGGATGAAATCTTGGCAAATTGTACATTTACACAATCAATCATTTTTGGAGCCGTTTTCTCAAAGTAATAAAGTTTGGTTCAATTTTTTAGGCTAAAGTTCATGCTTTGCACATTAGCTTGTTAAACATACCCATCACTTTGCAAAAGTTGTGCCACAGGCTCAATTTTACTGGTTGAAAGCCAAGTGGATCCGATTGACGAGCATTTTTTGAGGTATCCACGCAACGGATCCGCTCATGCTTTTGTATGTTGGACTTTTGTGTTGGTAGTATGCGCTGTGCAAAATTTGGGCTCAGGAGGTTGGCTGGAACTCGCTCTACGAATTTCGTGACAGACAGAGATTCAGACACACACACAAACGTAAACAACCCTTAGCCCGTTATTATAAGTTATGATGAAAAAAGAAAAGAAATTCCAAAAAATTTGTCTCAATTGGTTCAGCCCTGGCGAGAATCATTTTTTTTATAAAAATTTGCACTTGCCTTCGATCGAGCGAAATCCCACAACGACATCCACTTCTAACATTCATTTTTTTCTCAAAATTATTTTGTTTTTTGAAATGCAAGAACGCAGCCGCTCTTCTTACTGCAAAGCGTTAAGTCGCTTCTTGAAGTCTTAGAGTTTTTATTCAAGGAAATGACAAAACTCTAGGAAAATTCAGATAATAGTAATGTTAATTATTACGTTGCGCACATACTTCTGTCACCTTGCCGTCAGATTTTTAGCTCCATTTATGCAGCTTTCAGCGGGTCTTGTCCCAGAAAGTCTTCTAATCGACGCCTCAGATCCTCTTCCTTAGTGATCCTTAGAGATAGCCCGTAATTTTCTGGCTTATCAAAGCAATTCATTTCTTTTTTGCCTCATATCGACTCGAAACCGCCGTTAATCATGATTCGACAAAAACAATTTGCGTATAACGTTTTTTCATAAGAAAAATTGACCGGTGCCGAAAATTCTAGTTGCCTCTTGCCTCAGACAATCGACGGGACCCCTCCGCCGGACAGTCCGAATCTGCCAGAGTCACGCCGGACCCAGTTGACCAATGAGAGGGGGGCAAATGGGCGGTCCATCGCGGTGACATCACTGGCAGGCAAGTGGGAGGCTTCTCCGGCCCTGCTGCAAAGGTCCGCCATTTCTCCGGCGCGACTCTGCCAGATTTGGCGGACTCGCGCCGGAGAAATTTGCCCGGCGCGAGTCCGCCAAATTTGGAAGAGCCGCGCCGGAGAAAATGGGAGGGGTCCGGAGCAGAAATGGGAGGCCTCCGGAGCAGAAAATGGGAGGTATCCGGAGCAGAAAATGGGAGGTATCCGGAGCAGAAAATGGGAGGTATCCGGAGCAGAAATGGGAGGGCCCCGGAGCAGGCTGCGTATCGATTTGGCGCGTAGCCACGCTGTGAGATTTTGAGACGTTCTTAAATGCGCGCTATCTAGACTATCTAGTGTTGTTGTGATGAAAGTATCGTCTAAATTATCCGTTTATTGCTATCTCTCTCGTACGTATGCTTACCAAGTCGATCGACTTTTCATCAGACGTTGCAGATCCTCACTATATCGTTTTTGGCTTGAAAGATAGGACAAGGCAAGAGATATGTTGACAAAAGTCTTGGAGGCAACTCCAAACGATGTTGAAGTTTTGATAGATCTTGCTCAGCTTCTGGAAGGAGTTGATCCGCATGTTAGTTTACATCATCAATTACATTTTACGAGTTTTGACAACCGGCTCTTCTAGAAATCGCTCATTCTCTATGAAAATGCTTGTGATCTCATAAAAACGAGTGAAGATGGTTTACAAATTGATCCGCCAGCTGCTATCTTAAACAATATCGGAGCCTTGCACATGACTTTGAAAAATTATGAAAGGGCGAAGGAGTACTTCGAAGCAGCGGAAGCTAAGCTCCAAGTAAGTTGCATGTGCTTAGCTTCGCTCATTCTCTTCGATCGTTACAGGAAGATTTGGAGGGAGATCTGTGCGATTCGAAACTTTCTTCCTATGTCATCACTATGAGATACAACCTCGCTAGATGTTTGGAACACTTGTGCTTGTTCGAAGACGCTGAAGTTTTATACAAAGGCATTTTGAGAGAACAAGAAAATTACACGGATTGTAAGTTTTTTCAAATTAACATTCTGTGCACTCATTCTAGTGCATCATATTGCAAAGGTTATCTACGTCTCGGATGTCTTGCACGCGATCGAGGGCAGATTTATGAATCATCGGTGTGGTTCAAAGAAGCGATGTCCGTTACTGTTGTATAGACCTCGACACGATACCCAATTGACATCGTGCGTCAAAAGTGCGTACTTGATGTAAAGGCGGTGTACACTACTTACCTCAACCTGTAATTAATATTTTTTCAACTTGTACTTCCTCCCCATCTCTCTGGAGTTGGGAAAATGACTGAAGAAAGTATTGGTAAAACTGATTGATTTAAATTATCACTACTCGTGCTGAAATCTTATATCGTGAGGGTTATTTATCATGCTGATTCCAAAAATGGTACTCATTTTGCTTGATAGCCGTTCATCGATTCCCCATAAGTTTGAAGTTATTTGATGTGCCAAGTGGAAGTGCAGGTCAGAGGTAAGGAGGCTGTCTCTCCAGATTACTCACGTGATTACCGATGTTTCTAGATTGCCTATTCCAATTACTTTTATCACTTCTGACATTCACTGGGCTTTCGATGCTATCGTAGGTTCGAGCGCGTAAGAGGTAATGTATGATGTTTGGTAAATTTTTTTTCAAACTAATCTATCAAATTGAAGGTATTTTTATGACTTGGAAACTCGGAAGAGCAAGTTCTACCATTGTTTAGACATTATGTGCACAGCAGTCTCGAGTCTCCCATTCATAGAATAGATGATATGCGAAACGAGTATCATCTTTTAACTTGTGCAAAACAAACTAAACAGAATCTAAGCGATTCTGTTCAGTAACGGGCAGCTGCCGCAGCTAAAATAAACGACTCGAAAATAAACTCTTAATAACTTAATAACTCGAGCAAAATGAGTACCATTTTCGGAATCAGCATGATAAATAACCCCCATGATTTAAGATTTCAGTACGAGTAGTGATATTCAAAATCAGTCAGTTTTACCAATACTTTCTTCAGTCATTTTCCCAACTCCAGAGAGATGGGGAGGAAGTACAAGTTGAAAAAATATTAATTACAGGTTGAGGTAAGTAGTGTACGCTGTATTTACATCAAGTACGCATTTTTGACGCACGATGTCAATTGGGTATCGTGTCGAGGTCTATACGACAGTATGTCCGTTGATCAGAACAATGCTGGTTCATGGGTGCTTATCGGAAATCTGCACATGTCTAAACATGAGTGAGTAATGAGCTTTGTTTTGCTTCTGTCTGATCAATCTTCTCACAGATGGGGACGTGGTCAAAAGAAATTTGAAGAAGTGTTGAATAAGATGGATAAAGAAGATGCTTACTCATGGGTCTCACTTGGCAACGTCTGGATGGAGATGCTCTTTAATCTGGGCAGAAAAAGACTGACGACCGTGTAAGTACTGTACCATCGTACGATTGTTCTTCTGCGATTATAAGAACCCCCAAGCGTTTTTCTCCTTGATTTTCACGTCTTTCCTGAACAGTCATCATTACAGACCCAAGAAGGGAAGTACATGGATAGAGCTCTACAGATGTTTGGTAAAGCGTTGAAAATTGAGCCAAAAAACATCTGGGCAGCAAATGGAATAGGTACGTTTCGTATCGGAACAAATGACTAATTTTCTACTTCTTTTTCGATCAAAAACCGTATGTTTTGGTTTAGGCTGCGTATTAGCATCGAAAGCAATGTGGCAAGATGCCCGTGACATCTTCGCTCAAGTTCGTGAAGCTACCTCGGAATTCGAAGATGTTTGGATGAATATAGCTCATGTATATATCGAACTTGGACAATATGTCCCTGCTTTGCAAATGTGAGTTTATGGCGTTCCTCGCTGTTTTGTTTCATGTTGCACAGAATGCTTTTTTGATCTTTTTGTCATTTTCTTACCATGTTAAAACATATGCTTATACTGTGGTGTTACAAGGTTCTTTTCGCAACTAGGAAATTGGCTTTTCTTTGAATATTCTTATCTCTAACTCCTAGTATGGTTTTTGTAATATGAATTAACTGTTGTACGTATGCTGGAGATAGATAGATAGATTTTTCGAAAGTTTGAAAAATTTGAAATAAATGTCTTATCTCTTCGTTCTTTCTTCTATCTTCTATCCACAAACGCTAGGGGTGAGAGGGAGGGGGTAGAGTACGGGGTGAGGGTCGCGCTAAACTCCTACCCGGGGGGGGGGTCCTATTCGGCTTATTTGGGTGGGGTTTAGAGACAAAATTGGGGTTTGGAGCTTAAAGGCAGCGTCCAGGCAAGTCTGGACCTATGGGGATTTTACATGGAAAGTACTTTTGGGGCCCTAACTAAGCCACTACCCAACCGGCAGCTCAAGTAGTGCTCTAACGCCTGAGATATTCTGCTCGAAACCGGACCCCGCGACCGTGTTTCGCATGGATTCATGGCGCAAAGCGTGGATCCTGGTGCGAAACTGCCATGAATCCATGCGAATACGTTCGCGGGGGGTCTGTTTCGAGGGGAATATCTTTGCCATTAGAGCACTACCTGAACTGCTGCTTCGGCAGTGCCTTAGTTAGGGCCCCAAAAATACTTTCCTTGTAAAAGCCCCATAGGTCCAGATCTGCCTGGAAACTGCCTTTAATTAGGGCTAATTACAGTATGCCGCGGCAAACTTGCGGAGCACAAAATCGGGGGGCTCCGGCGCACAAAATCGGGGGGCTCCGGAGCAGAAAATGGGAGGTATCCGGAGCAGAAAATGGGAGGTATCCGGAACAGAAAGTGGGAGGTATCCGGAGCAGAAATGGGAGGTCTCCGCCGGAGAAATGGGAGGGCTCCGCCGGACAAATGGGAGACCCACCGCTGGGGAGGAAAAAAAAATAAAGCTGTAATTTTCAGGCGGTGACGCAGCGCGTGAAATAGCGCGGCAACTTGTCGTTAGTTCCACGTTATTCGACAACAATTGACAACTCGCAAAATTTGCAGTTCTATTGTTTTGAGGCCACGAAAGCGAGTAACACCAATGAGAGTTCCTCTTTGTTCGCAGTAGCGTCAGCTCAGAACAAAAAGTCTTTTGCAGAAAACACAAAGTTTGACTGTGAGTAAACTTTCACACTGTGATCGTTACGAGATTATTCTTCCATAACTACATTTTATGCGGTAAATGTTAAAAACAAGATTATAAAAGGAAAACCTAAATCGAATCGTTCCCGTCAAAGCAAGTCGTAAAGTTAAATGCGCACCTCCGCAGTTACACCTTGCACCATATGTCACGCCTAAAACCACAATTTCGTGTACTTTTCCCTCCTGCAACCGAGATAAGATGCTGAAACTAAAGTTTTAAACTGCAACCGAGATAAAATGCTGAAACTAAAGTTTTAAATTTCGAAAATTGAAGTGCAGTAAAGAAAACGATCGAATTGACGAGAAAATTGGGATTTAGATGTTTGAGAAGATGCTCTTTCCATTTCAATAGTTGCTCTGCTGAAAAAATTATGAAAGTGGTTTTTGAAAAAAAATCGAATAAAGTACAATGGAGTATTTTCCTTTGTCACCACTGAACTGGTATTTGAGCGGTTCTGATGTATGATCGTCTCTACGATTCGTGTAGAGGTGTATTGCAGACTTTTCCTGATAACACAGGTAAACTTGTTAAACCTCAACGTCATAACATTGCTTTTCGTACTCTCTCGCTATCAAAAAACCGCCACGCTTTGAGTTGGCAAAACCCCGCCTCTACACGAATCGTGGAGTCGATGATAATCTAGACATTAATTCCCTCTGAGATTGAAAGTTAGCAGCTTTGTTATCATTGATTTTGTTAGCAATTTATTATTCAGATCACAATCTTCACTATAGAAAACTGGAGATCACAATCTTCACTGTAGGAAATGTCGAACTAGGACTTTCATTTCTGAAATTTGTTCCAAAGCCCACTTTCATGATTTTAGCAAAGCAACTATTGAAATAGAAAGAGCAACTTCGAAAATCTAAATCCCATTTCTCCCTTCAATTCGATCATTTTCTTTACTGAACTTGAATTTTCGAAATTTGAATTTTTAGTTCCAGCATCTTATCTCGGTTGCAGGACGAAATCGGATGATTTATGCCCTGACCTAGGCCTTAGGCATCGTCGAGTCATTTGTAACTTAATATGCGTAGTACACACTATACACGCTAACTGACGAACTGCGAAACTAGAATCTGCCCATTTTTAGTGATTTCTCCTTGTTTCCTTGTTCTGTTTGTTTTAGTGGGTTATAAGTCAGTAGAACACATTTCTACACTTTGCTAGGCTAAAAATGTTTCACTGGGAAGTTATTAGTGTAAATGCCGTCGCTGATAGGGCTTGGTGTGCATTCTAACATACTGAGTGCTTACACTGTGGGTGAGATGCGGTAAAACTTCGTAAACAAGTAGCTATCTACGCCTGTGACGCCGGCCAGTTGCACGCGCAGAATGTCGCCATTACTGGCGTGGGCTAACAGTTTACGAGCAAATTTTGCTACATTTCACCTACAGTGCAAGCACACTATATTAGGCCTCGGACAGAGTTCACGCGATTTGATCGTCGCGATTCAATCGCGACAGACAACTGTCAAGAGTTCATTGTATGCCGATCAGCTTGAATTTCGGTTGTGATAGTTTTTCAGCTCGAAATTTTTGAATGTAAAATGAAAATGAATGAAAATCGCGGCGATTAAATCGCGACGATAGAATCGCGTGAACTCTGTCCGAGGCCTTAAGCGGAAAATCTACTCGACTGTAGTCACGATTACTCGTGTCGAAAAACTGTCACAACGGCGAAGGATCGGCATGCAGTGGAATCGTAACAGTTGTCTTGTTGAAGAATCGCGAGGCGATGAAATCGCATGAGCTATGCTCAAGATCTAATTTGAAGCGGACCGTGGGGAATTTTGAACATTTTATGACATTTTTACATTAAACATTAGTGGACATTTACATTGGACGCTCTTCAAACTAACGTAAGATATCCATGTTTCCTTGGCCTAAGTTACATTCTATAACTCTCTTTGATGAATAGTAGAGTACGAAAACAGTTGCTAGGTGTGTCAAAAGGTTCCCGAGTTCTTCACCTGATGTGTAGCGGGTTTACATTAGTCTTACTATAATATTTATTATACAGGTTATATACAAAAGGGTACGGGAGAGGGGGAAGAATGCACCGGCTCCTGTCGGCGGGCGGAGGTCACTGCCAGAGGAGCTTGTTTGGCTGTTTGTTGAACGTCTTCCGAGCTACGTGCATAAGAAGTACACCTGATAGGGCGAGACCATAGAGAGCTTCGATTTCAGTACCATTACCTTCATATAGGTTGAGTGGAGTAGAGGAGTTGGTTTAGGCGGATTGGATAACCAAACAACGACCTTCACCTCATCCGCTGCGGCGCACTGATGCACTTCAACACCATGCAGTCTTACTCTAACGTCTGCGTCTCTTCGAAGAGAGCGAAAAGAATAAGTGCAGGCAGCGAGGGGTACGTCGAAGGCGACTATGCCCTGCACCACTGCAGTCCATCATAAACTTACCTGGCTGGGGGTGTCTCGCGACCAAGAAGGCGGGAGCCCCACGGCGAGGCCTTCGCATTGCACTTCAGCGAGGGCTGACCTGTGTGGCAGCCTCGAGTTGAGGTTAGCCAACAGCTAAATTTCTGCGTGTGGGCTGCGTTCGCGCGGACGTGACAAAATTTTTGGCAGTTTATTGGTGGTCAAGGAATGCCTATCTTTGTTCCTTGGCACAGTCAATTCTTTATAATATTTAAAGCCTTTTCTTATGACCGGCCTGAAATGGTACAAAGAATCATGAAATCTGGATGCAACATGAGCTTCGGGGCGGGGCGGGTGTCACTAAGCTATTTCATCAGAAATCATCGACTGGCGCCATTGATTTACTGGATTTTTGATTTATTGCCTAGCAATTCTGCTATGACTGGCCTAACTCACTCACCGGCCTTGCCAGACACTGGGAGCGGACGAGCCGCGGCCTCAAAAGGCCTTTCCGGCCCTCCCGCGACTTTAATTTGGGAGCGTGGCCGGGGTGCGCCGGCCCGCCGCCCTTCATTCATGTCATTATCATTGCCTGGCCGAGCCGCGGGAGGAAATGGGTTCACAGGCTCAGCCGCGGCCTTCGATGATGGGGCGGAGCATTCCAGCGGCTGAGCCGCGGACCAATTTCCGTGTAAGAGACTCCGGCCGAGCCGCGGCCTATGTCAATTGAAGGCCGCGGCTCGGCCGCTCTTAGTGTCTTAGCCTAAAGGATACTTACGTGATGTACGACGCACGGTCAGGCTATCCTCAATGTCCACTGCCTTCGATATCTCAGTCTTTCAGGCACGAACAAGATCAGTATGTTGCTTGAAAACAACCATGGATAGCGTCTGGCGTTATCCAATTTTGAAGTCGGACTTGGTTTCCGAAGATGCTATATCGGTGGCCTCAGTTTTTGTTTTTAATGTGTTTTATGTGCCAGTAAATAAAAGAGTTCTACGTGTATCAGTGTCCGGCTTAGGCCCCGGGCCTTCGCGATTTGATCGTCGCGACTGAATCGCGGCGAGACAACTGTTACAACATCATTCCATGCCGATCAACTTGCATTCGGTTGTGATACTTTTCCAGCCCGAAATTTTTGAATATGAAATGAAAATGAATGAAAATCTTGGCGATTAGATCGCGACGATTGAGTCGCGTGAAGTCTGTCCGGGCCTTAGGCAATCAAATTTGAAATAAATGGACAAAGGCGAGCCCTGAGCCCCGGTGAGCAAACCCAATTATATGGCCGAGCAAAATGATACGGACGGCCCGACAACCAACTGCGGCCGAGCCGAGTCTTATTGCCGGCCGAGCCGAGGCCCACTCTTCGGCCGGCCCGGGGGGGGGGGCTGCGAAATTCCAGCCTGTAATGGGCCGCGGCTCGTCCGCTCCCAGTGTCTGAGAAAATGTTAGAAAGGACTATGGAAATTGAACGAGACTTTGCACGCGTGAACTTTGGAGCGAGGCGGGTGTCACTAAGAGTTATTCTAAATTGCCGCACTGACCGCAACAGACTGCGGACTGCAGCTGACCGCTTTGACTGCAACAGCCACAACGGCTGAAGCCTAAAGGTGGAGAGGATGAATAGTTGTGGCTCAAACAAACAACAATAATTTATATATTGATAAAATTCAAACTTTGTGTGTTCGTTTATTCGTTCGTTATAGAAACGCGCACCACTAAACCGATCTAGCTGAAACTTTGCACACACATGCTCTCGACTCCGGCGCTGGTTTAGGGCTATTCGCTGGGCCCTTTTATCGATTTATTGATTTGTTTACTCACTAGAAGAATGAAAACTTTTCATGCGCTAACCGATCATTTTTCCATGATTAAGGGGCGGTAGAGTCCATTTCTATCTCAAAGTCGGGAAGATGCGGCAAGTCGTCTCAAAGCGCTTTTTGCGCACGTTTAAAGAAGTTTAGAAGCGCAAGTTCAGACGTTTTTGAGCTAAACTAATCTGGAGCCTCGAGTGAGGCCGGGACTATCAGCTAGTATCTATCTAAAAGCAAAGGACAATACTATATGTAATGAAGGAGGAATTAGAACAAATACGAACATACCAGAGAAAAACTATCGCTAAAATTTGATTGAGAAGGATTGTGATGAAACTTATGATCTTCTCAGGCGTAAAACACGCTGTCTTGATGATTGCGGTTGTTTTATTTTACGAGAGGAGCCATCGACCGGTGCGGTCAGTCAGCTGCAGTCAGCTGCAGTCAGCTGCAGTCAGCTGCAGTCAGCTGCAGTCTGCTGTAGTCAGCTGCAGTCTGCTCCAGTCTGCTCCAGTCTGCTCCAGTCTGCGGCGGTCAGTGCGGCAGTCTGAAACAAACCTAAGCTTTTTCACCACAACAAGCTTCATCGATTTATTGATTTTTTTTCGTATTTTGAAGGCAGTGTCCGGACTAGTTTGGGAGTTTTGGGGTTTCACTGTCGCGCAAAAGTAGCCCTGACATACCCACCAGCCCATCGCGGCCACATGCTGTAGAACCGGAAGCGAGGATAAATCGATAAAGAGAGCGTATATCGCAATCAAGACATAGGGTCCCATACCTTCGATAGTCTAGACAGGGCGTCAAAAGTGAAGATTGTTTGACTATGTGCCCTCAGAAAAAGTGAAGGTTGTTTATGGAAGATCAGAGAAGAAAAAAGACGCAAAACAAATATAAAACCAAAAGAAAGTGCTGAAAACGGGATAAAAACGCTGCATTGAGGTTTTGAAATCTTTCATCTGGCTTCTTTCCAGAAGCATGTTTTCGCTCAAGGACCAACAATTCCGAAACACGGGGAAAAGCGGAAAAGCTAATTTTTTGTGATTGTTCCAGAAAACCATGTTTTTGAAGCGGTGGTTATCAAGAAGAAGACAAACAAGAAAGGAATTAGTTATGAAAACGCAATGTTTCTTTTATTAAGTCGAAGTGCACGTCAAAGCCAAATTTAGTTTTTAGCGTCCCTCAAATTTTTATCCCCGCTTGACGTTCCTGTTTTTTGGGACGTTGTTTGGATTGTTGCGTTTATTATGTTGAGCAACAATCGCTCAAGCTGGAAAAAAATCGCTGCAAAAACATTGAAGGAGAACGAGGTAAAGAAAAACGCACTTTTTACGATTTTTCACAAAAAATTCCGCCATGATCAGAGATAAGCGTTGGATCGTTGTCTGCATTATTAACAAAAGCAAGATGTATAGAATGTTTGAAAAAACCGCGTGAAAAGAGCTGAACTAGGGGAAAACAAGAGATTTTCGAAAACAAGATTTTCGCCGTGTTTCTCGTTCAAATCAAAAGTGATTATGGGACATTGTCAGCGTGAAAGTAGAGATGAAGAGCTTCAATATGATATATAGCCTGCTGAAATTGGGTTTGAAACAATTAAGGAAAGGGTACCAGAGCCAAATGCTTCGCTCCCCTCGTTAGAAGTAGCCGTAGCGCACAGCGCTCGGAGACGCGGACGAGCAGTGGGGGCATTTTGGCTCTGGTCGTAGATTTCCGCAGGGTCTCAACGGAACCCCGCACCATTATATATTTTTCTGGTTATCATGACACGCACTGATAGCCGTTGAAAATCATTCATTA